ATGAGTTCAAACGATTTCCCGTGTTACATGACCAGAGCATGACTCACTATCTAAATAAGGATAAACAAAGAACTAGCTTCTCGACTAATCCTTGCTAGAAGCACCACTACCTCCGGTACTTGAGCGATATCGTATAGAACATCATCATTTCAACAGAAGGGTGAGAATTTACATTATCATGCAAATATATAATAATAAATAATTGCATCACATACATACATACATACAATCGAATTCATCACACTTCACATAATCAATGTATTCAATATTATCCGATCCAATTCGCATGTTTACATATACAACATTGTTCAACAATTCATGATTTAAAGATAATCAATCACAAATACCATAAATATAACATTCACATCAACATCACATATTGCACACCAATTCAATATTTCACATCGACATATGTGACTTAAATTCAACTCAATGCAATATGCATGTGATACCCATTGTTATCCTTAACGTTTTTTACGTTTAAATCGTGTTCATCCCTCTGACAGATAAGCACCAAAAAGCTCATCCCTCAAGCTTTCAAACCCTCGTCTTCAGGTTTGGGACAAGTCACTAGTCTCCACGAAACTAGCAAGCATTGCTTCTTGACAACAAATGATGCATGTGCAATCTCAACAATCATATGCAATTAAGATCATCCCTCAATCTTACTCATACAATCATACATCACCTAATTCATCACATTTGAATCATCATCCCCATTTCACAAACACACATCAATCATGTCATCATTCACATACAATGCATTCTCATATCATTCATCAACTCAATACACCACAATAAATATAGCAAACAATGTCCAACAATGTTATTCTTGTCCAATTTCAATTCACAACATATATCTACACAAAATTCAAGTATCATGTTCATAACATTCTTAATTCAACACATTACAATAACACATAACAAATAAAGTCAAACAACATTATTCACATTCAACACCAATTCACAAACCAAACAACACAATTACAAGTCATTTACATAATCACGTTATTATTAAATCATTTATTTCCAACAAGACCATTTTTATTGAAAATAATATCACGCTATCTTTCTAACGCTTCGAACAGAGACTCAAATAGAGTTACGATTCAAAAGATATGAATTGTTAAAGTTTCAACGAAAAAGCAAACATCGACATCATACACTTGCAACTCTAAACATGTCATAATAACGCAAAACAATTAAAAATATGATTCTTAATAACTCCAAACAACTCTGACAATTTATTGACTACTCTAACAATTCTATTGACAATCCTAAAAAAATTGAAAATAACTTAAATGAACTAAATTATCCGATTGTTTATCTCTAATTCAAAATTTCTAAAAATATTATATTATTATTATTATTATTATTATTATTATTATTATTATTATAATATTAGTAAAATGTGATATACTATTAAGTTTAAAACGTGATACTACACATCTACTTTAATATATAAAAAGTAATTATTATCATAATTACTTCGTTATTCTAATTAGACCCGTTTAAATATTGTTTTTCATGCCCTAAAATAATTTCATCTCTTTAAAATCTCATTAAACCTTTAACAATAATGATGGTGTAATGCAATTATTTCTTTACTTGGTTTACACAATTTTAACTACTTAATCAATTCACACGTTCAATATTTTGTTCTAATGCAATAAACCCTTGAAATCTTTTAATGATTACAATACTTTTTATTAATTTTTTTATCAAATATTTCAAGTTTCTATGCTTAAGTCATTTGATGCATTTTTACGTGTTCCAAAACTAACTCTCTGCATTCCAAGATCTTGAAATCAAAGCAACTTAAATACAATCTCTTCATTCCAATTCCTTCACAAAGTCAAGAACCCAAATAAAAGCAACAACAACACTATCTCTTCATTCCAAAACTTCAGAGAATAAAGAAAGGTTCTAGATAATTTTTATGATTCTTTAACTTCTTCTCGCTAGAAAAACCCTTCATCAGAAAACCATTCCACGGTGGGACAAAATTTTCCATATCGCGGTGGTTTATCTGTACATGCATTAAACTGTTTCAATTTCCCTTAATTGTTACTCTGTTATTTTTGGAACGTTGTTCTGAATTTATTTAGGTATTACATTTTATGTTGAAGTAATTGATGTTTCCTTTACAATAAATTGAATTGTGTTTATTTTTTGTTCTTATGATTCTCTGTACTTCTAATTGCAGAGTATAGTATGGGGAAAAGATTTGGTGACTATTGTTCCACAACTCTCCACCTCTTCTTCGTTCTTTTTCTTTTGATTTTTGCTGTGTTAAGTTGATGATTGTTGTTGTTGTTAACAGAATTTGTGATTCTAGAATCTTTCCATGTTTGATTCACTTTTTTCGTTGTAAATTTTATAAAATTTTCTCTATTATGATTTTAAGTTATGTTGATAATTGATAAGGCTTAGTTAAATTAGTGTCCTAGTTTATAGCACTTCTATTAGTTGATTTAGTCAAGTTTTTGTAGACAAATTTGTTTCCTAAAATTTAGCTAGTACGTGGCTTGTAGGCTGCTTTTGTTTTCTTATTTATTTGCTGAAGTTTACAATGAATAAACAGTCATTCCCAAAAGCTTCTATTTTGTTCCTGTTATATTTAACATTCTGGTAACAGAGCAGTAACCTGAGAGATGGGTTCGGAAGCAAATTTTGCAGCAGCCTCCATCCCGAAGTTCGACGGCGACTACGATCATTGGAGCATGGTCATGGAGAATCTCCTTCGATCCAAGGAGTATTGGGTTGCTGTTGAATCAGGCTACACAGAGCCGAATAATAGAGATGGAATGACGGCAGAGCAAATAAAGAACCTGGAGGAAATGAAGCTGAAGGATTTGAAGGCTAAGAATTACTTGTTTCAGTCGATTGACAAGTCAATTCTGAAAGCGATCACGCAGAAGGAGACATCTAAACAGCTCTGGGATTCCATGAAGTTGAAGTGTCGAGGCAATGCTCGAGTGAAGAGAGCTCAGCTCAATCATCTACGGCGGGACTTTGAGGTCTTAGCAATGAAGCAAGGTGAATCGATCACTGATTATTTTGGTCGAGTGATGACGGTTGTAAACGACATGAGGAATTATGGAGAAGATGTGGATGATGTCAAGATCGTTGAGAAGATCTTGAGAACCCTCACTGAGAAATGGAACTATATTGTTTGTTCCATAGACGAAGCCAAGGACATAGATGAATTATCTGTGGATGCCTTGCAGAGTTCTCTGCTCGTTCATGAGCAAAAATTCAAAGTAATTGGAGAAGAGGAACATGCTTTGAAGGTAACTCATGAAGAGAGCTATGGTGGAAGAGGTCGAGAAAGAGCTATTTTTCGAGGAGGTCGGGGACAAGGAAGAGGCAGGGGCAGCCAACCGAGGAGTAAAGAAACAGTTGAGTGTTACAAATGTCATAAGCTTGGACACTTCCAGTACGAGTGCCAAGCAAATTATGCTGGTTTGGAGGAATCGGAAGAGATGGTGCTAATGGCGTATGTCGACACGTTTGGAGACGATCGAGATGTTATGTGGTATATTGATTCTGGGTGCAGCAATCACATGTGTGGTGATTCTTCACTTTTTTGTGAGTTAGAAGAAGGGTTCAACAAGGTGGTTAGATTGGGGAATTGTGCAAGCATGAATGTTTTCGGAAAAGGAAGTGTTCGATTGACAATAAAAGGAGTAAACCACCTTGTACGGGATGTTTATTATGTTCCCGGTTTGAAGAATAATCTCCTTAGTGTTGGTCAGCTACAAGAAAGGGGTTTGGCTGTACTAATGCAGTCAAATGAGTGTCGGATTTATCACCACACAAAGGGTTTGGTATTCCAAACCAACATGGCAGCAAATCGAATGTTTGTGTTGCTTTCGAGCACTAAATCAATCAAAAGTGAAAGCAAAGAAGAGTGTTTCCAAGTAACGATCGACGACACCAAAGACGTGGCTCACCTTTGGCACCGAAGATTTGGTCATCTCAGCTACAAAGGGTTGAAGACTTTGCAAACAAAAAGCATGTTGAGAGGCTTACCAAGTTTCTCGGAGGGTGAAATTGTGTGCACAAATTGCTTGAAAGGGAAGCAGCATCGAGATGTAATCCCAAGGAGAAGTACATGGAGAGCGTCGGAAAAATTGGAACTTGTTCATGCTGATATTTGCGGCCCGATTTCTCCGTTTTCGGATGGAAACAAGAGGTATTTCATTTGCTTCATTGATGACTACAGTAGGAAGGCGTGGGTGTATTTTCTCGCTTGTAAGTCAGATGCACTCACTATCTTTAAGCTATTTAAAGCTCTTGTTGAAAAAGAAACGGGCCTGTCCATTAAATGTTTAAGAACAGATCGTGGAGGTGAATTCACATTAGATGAGTTCAAGGAATATTGTAAAATGAATGGAATCAAGAGGCAATTAACTGCTGCATATACACCGCAACAGAACGGAGTTGCGGAGCGGAAAAATAGAACAGTGATGAATATGGTGATGAGATTACTGGTTGAGAAAAATGTTCCAAGAAAATTCTGGGCAAAGGCGGTAAACTAGGCATTCTATGTTCTCAATAGATGTCCAACATCATCGGTGAAGGAAACGACACCAGAGGAAGCTTGGTGTGGGGTGACACCTTCAGTTAGGCACTTGAGAGTCTTTGGTTGTATATCATATGCTCACGTACCGGATGCTCGGCGAACAAAACTTGAAGATAAGAGTCGTTGTTGTGTCTTTTTTGGTGTAAGTGCAGAATCAAAGGCATATCGACTATATGATCCTACCTCTAAGAGGATCATTATCAGTCGCGATGTCGTCTTTGAAGAAGACGGGCAGTGGAATTGGGAGAAAAAATCTGATGAAGATAACACGTTTGATTTGGAATGGGAAAATGAGAAAAGTGAAGAAAGTGAGGAATCAAGTGATGGCAATGAAAAAGAAAATACAGCTGATGGTAATGAAGAATAAAATGGAGAAAATGCAGCTGATAGTAATGAAGAAGAAAATGCAGTTTCTCCATTGACAGAGCCCCGAAATAGAAGAGCTCCAAGGTGGATGAATGACTATGTATCTGGTGATGGTCTTTCCGATGAAGAGGAAGAGGTACAAACTCACTTAGTCTTGTTTTCTCATGTCGTTCGTTCTGATCCTACTTCATTTGACGAAGCAATAAAGGAGGAGAAATGGAGGGCAGCCATGGATGCAGAAATGAGATCAATTGAGAAGAATGGAACGTGGGATCTTAGAGAGCTGCCAAAAGGAGCGGAAAAAATAGGAGTCAAATGGGTATACAAAACAAAGTTGAACGAGCTTGGAGAAGTAGAAAAATACAAGGCTCGCTTGGTCGCCAAAGGGTATGCTCAAGAATACGGAGTTGATTATGAAGAAGTATACGCTCCTGTAGCTCGTATGGACACGGTTCAAATGATTTTGGCACTTACAACACAAAGAGGTTGGTGTGTGTTTCAGCTGGATGTGAAGTCAGCCTTTCTTCATGGGAAGTTAGCTGAGAATGTATATGTGGAGCAGCCAAGGGGTTATGAAATAAAGAATGAAGAGCATATGGTATATAAGCTCAACAAAGCTTTGTACGGACTCAAGCAGGCACCGCGAGCATGGTTCAGCCGAATTGAATCATACTTCAGGAAGGAAGGTTTTGAGAAGGAGGATAGTGAGCAAACTTTGTTTACCAAAGTCAAATAAGGTAAATATTTAATCATTAGCTTGTATGTTGATGATTTAATTTAACCGGAGATGATGAAAAAATGATGTTTGAATTCAAAGAGTCCATGATGAAGGAATTTGATATGTCGGACTTGGGTAAGATGAGGTATTTTCTTGGTATTGAAGTAGTTCAGTTTGATGGAGGTATATTCATCAGTCAAACAAAGTATGTGATAGAAGTGCTAAGAAGATTTGGAATGGAGCATAGTAATTATGTTGAAAATCCAATAGTTCCAGGATTTAAAATCTCCAAAGATGAAAATGGTGTTGAGATGGATGGTTCATTTTTCAAGCAGCTGACTGGAAGCTTGATGTACTTGGCTGCTACGAGGCCGGACATAATGTATGCGGTTAGCTTATTAAGCAGGTACATGTCAAGGCCTACAGAAGTTCATCATTCGGCAGCAAAGAGAATTCTACGTTACTTGCAATGTACAACAAAGTTTGGCATTCTTTACAAAGCGGAAGGAAACTCGGAATTGATTGGCTTTACGGATAGTGATTATGCTGGATCGGTGGAGGATAGAAGAAGTACTTCGGGTTATGTTTTTATGCTAAGTGGAGCTGCAGTAGCTTGGTGTTCTCGAAAGCAACCGATAGTAACGTTGAGCACGACAGAAGCCGAATTTGTAGCAGCTGCAGGAAGTAAGTAGTTGTCAGGCAATATGGATGCAAAGGGTGCTGAAGAAGATAGGCTACAAGGGCAGTGAAAGTACTGTCATCTATTGTGACAATAACTCAACCATTAAATTGTCGAAGAACCCGGTGATGCATGGCAAGAGCAAGCACATTGATGTGCGCTACCATTTCTTAAGGGAGCTTGTGAATGATGGAGTTGTGCAACTTCAGTTTTGTGGTACAAGGCATCAGTTAGCGGACATCCTCACCAAACCAAACCAAACCGTTGAAATTAGAGTCATTTCGGGAGCTGAGATGGAAGCTTGGAGTTTGTGATTTTCCAGGAGTTAACTAGCTGCAAATGCAGTCTAGTTCAAGGGAGGGAATGATAAGGCTTAGTCAAATTAGTGTCCTAGTTTATAGCACTTCTATTAGTTGATTTAGTCAAGTTTTTGTAGTCAAATTTGTTTCCTAAATTTGCAGTCTAGTTCAAGGGAGGGAATGATAAGGCTTAGTCAAATTAGTGTCCTAGTTTATAGCACTTCTATTAGTTTTTGTAGTCAAATTTGTTTCCTAAAATTTAGCTAGTACGTGGCCTGTAGGCTGCTTTTGTTTTCTTATTTATTTGCTGAAGTTTACAATGAATAAACAGTCATTCCCAAAAGCTTCTTTTCTGTTCCTGTAACATTTAACAATAATATGCTCTATCACAATCATATATTTGTCTATCATGTGTTTGTTTAGATTCTACAATGAACTATCATTTTCTTTCATGGATAACCATCATTTTGCTTTGTAAGAATTTCCCCAAAAACATGTTTATAAGACTATCAAACAAGCTTGTTGCTGTTTAAGTCGCCTAGATTTTTTTAACTTTTTTTTTTATTATAAACTCTAATGTGTCATATTTACTTACATGCTTATTAAAATTGGGAGGCCCATTGTTGAGAGGTTCACCAACTCTCTTATGATGCACGGTAGAAACAATGGAAAGAAACTCAAGTTTTTATTATGGAACATTGATAGTGAGTTCTACTGTTAGGGCATGGTGTTTTGTTATTTAGTAGAGTTTGTATTATCTTTAAGACATGCTTATCCAGATATTCAAATAGGTTGTTTTCTTTGTCTGTCTACGAAATGTTTATTGAATTGTATGAACAAAAACTCATTGTGTTTTTTTGATGATGATGATGTTAAAAGTGAAATGTTTTAATTAACTATAATATTTACGATTATTTTATTTTTATCTTTTAGAACACATTATGTTTGGCTATCTACATTGCTTAATCTAATTTTTTTTTGTGATTTGAATATGAATCGAAGCAACATTATCAGAGAAGTCCGAAGGAATGACGATTTTTGTTATGATTGGAAAGTAAGTATTTTATACTATTGAATTGGAGTGGATGTTTTGATTTGTATACGTGTTTTTGTTTATAATTATGTTGCTGAAGCTGCAGAAACTATTTTAGATAGTGTCGAAGAAATTGAAATAATCAACCGCGTTCCTTGTAATCAATTTTTGCATTGTTGTATTACAGCTCCATCATGCCCGTGGCATTGACATTTTGGACACCGGAGTTATTACACTAATGTTTTGCATTGTTGTATGGTTGTCTCAAAGCACATATGTTACCTTAATAGGTTATTAGTTATTATGGACGTTGACATTACCAATTTATATTCATACTATTATTTTTCATGGGATAATTTTGCTCTTTTAAATGTCATGGTTCCAGTTGAAAGCAGTGGCTGATATGAACCACCGTGAGCTTCAGTCTAAGATGGAGCAAAAATGGAGACGTGTAAGATTTTGTAGTGTTTTCATTTTACATGGTTTTTCATATGACATGGAAATTCTCACAGTAAAACATCACTTTATTATGAGATTTGGTTGATAGTGTTAACTCAAGAATTGGTGTCAAAATGCAGAGATGGTAGGATTAGTCAATGATATGATTACCTATGTTCTCAGGGCATCTAAAACAGGACATGTGGATTATAACTACAGTTTAGAATATATTATCCTTCAATGCGCGAGCCATACAAGCTACATATAATCATGCAATTCAAGAAGCATATTAACTGCATGTAACACAAATAATTCTTACATGCTAGTTTTGATAATACATGCATGTAACACAAATAGTTCTTATATGCAAATGTGATTATATATTGCAAATTTTGTTGCAAATATAGTTATTCTTGGGTTGTTGATGGTATATTTGATGTATGGTATTACAAGATGATCAATTTTTTATTGTACATGCGTGTTGATTTTGTTGAATATGATTTAGCCAATTTTGTTCTATATACAAATTTATTATATTTTTGAATATTTTATTTCCTTTCAAATTATATTGTAGTATGCTTAAATTATTGGTTCAAACGTGTGCACGAGTATTTCATATTCTATTTGATTGTTTATTACATAATTAAGCCATCTATTTGATTGTTTATTACACAATTAAACCATTCATTTTATATTTATAGATACATTTGATTACATTAAATATTAATTAAAGAATATAAGTAAAAGTTATCTATATTTTTCAAAAACGTTAATACAAAATTACAAGTAAATGCTATATTAAAAACAAAGTTTCTCAATATTTACCAATTATTCAAAAAACTATTTTTATTAACTCATTAGTTAAAAAACAAATATTTATTGGAGAGACATAAATAAATAATGAACGCATCAGTTGCTTTAATAATAATTTATTGTATATTCATATATGTGATAATTTATTGTATGTTCATTTATGTGATAATTTATTGTATATTCATATATGTGATAATTTATTGTATGTTCATTTATGTGATAATTTATTGTATATTCATATATGTGATCATTATAAAATAATAGTGTTGATATAATTAATTTTATAAGGAAGATTTTTTTTATTATTTATATAAATAGTTTTATTAACAAGAAATTTTTTATGTTTTATACGAATAATTTTATAAACGGGCAAAATTGTATTGTTGAAAAAAAAATTATAAATGGGAAAAAGTGTAGTTGTTGATATAAATGTTGTTGATACAAATATTTGTATAAATAAATAAAAAAGTTTATTAATACAAATATTTTTATAATTGACTAAAAATATATTATTGATATAATTATTTTTATAAATAAAAAAAGTTTATTGTTGATATAAATATTTTTATAAATAGTAAAAAATATATTGTTGATATAAATATTTTTATAAATAATAAAAAGTGTATTATAGATACAATCATTTTTATATAAAGAAAAAATGTATTATTGATACAAATAATAATCCTCGTCATGGGACCCGTACAAAATTTCCATGTACATCATTACAAAAATCTATGTTAAATTAGTATTATGACAATCATAATTTGAAACATTCTTGTTGTCTTATTTATATATTTTTTATATATATTTCTTAATCATTATTAAATTATATTTATTTATTATTTAGAACGATATTGCGTGATCCGTATAAACACATAGATAGATGACAACTTAATTATTTTATTTATTTTTCTATTAAAACATACATTCCTATCGTATTGAGACAACTTAATTTTGTTGGTGCACAAGGTTAATAAATGAAGAAAAGATAAAAGAGAATAATATTAAAGCTCTACAATGACGACTATAAAGTTGTAAGGAAGAATGATTGAACAATGATTATTGTTATTGTTACTGTTGTTGTTACAAATGACAGCTACTACTAATCTATTTATACACAAAGTAAATTGTCATGTATGCTCTAATTAAAGGTAAACTTAATGATTAAGTTAAAAGATACAAACTAGGAAATACTAAACTTAACAGCTACGCTAATAAACTCAGCTCCAAAATCCCAAAAGCTAAATATACTTTTGGGCGTAACCTCAGAAGCTTATGCTTCTGAACAATACCGCTTCTGAGTAACAACATCGAAAACTTCTGATTCTAATCAACAACTTCTAAATATGAATTACTTTTAACATCATCCCTTAATTCATATTCAGCTAACAAAAAAAAACTACAACACCAATTTCATCCCTCAAATGGATAAGGTGTTCAGTCTTGACATCTTTCGTCAGAATATATGGAAGTTGCTTCTGGTTGCTACAGTGTGTAACTTCTAATACTTCATTTAGAAATGCAGATTTCTCCTTGAAAACCAATCTGACGTTGATGGCTTTCTTCTCCTTTAGAAGTACAGTCAACTTTCAAGTCTTGTTTCTTTCAATAGAATCAAGCTCTTCTTTCATGGCCTCCAGTCACACTTTCTTCTTGAGAGCTTCACAGGTTGACAACACAATCACCAGTTGCTTATTTGAGCACCAAGAAATAAGATTTTCAATATACAAATAAAAATATCCAGAAGTATTTCTTC